GAGAAAGAGGAACCCTTTTGCACTGCTGGTGGGAATGCCAACTGGTGCAGTCACTCTGGAAAACAGGATGGAGGTTCCTCAAAAAATTAAAAATAAAACTATCCTACGACCCAGCAATTGAACTACTAGGTATTTATCCAAAGGACACAGGTGTGCTGTTTCAAAGAGGCACATGCACCCCAATGTTTATAGCAGCACTATAGACAATAGCCAAAGTAAGGAAAGAGCTCAAATGTCCATCGATGTATGAATGGATAAAGAAGATGTGGTATATATGTACAATGGAGTATTACTCAGCAATCAAAAAGAATGAAATCTTGCCATTTGCAACAACATGGATGGAACTAGAGTGTATTACGCTAAGTGAAATTAGTCAGAGAAAGACAAATATCATACGACTTCACTCATGTGAGGACTTTAAGATACAAAACAGATGAACATAAGGGAAGGGAAGCAAAAACAATATAAAAACAGGGAGGGGGATAAAACACAGGAAACTCTTAAATATAGAAAACAAAGTGAGGGTTGCTGGAAGGGTCATGGGTGGGGGGATGGGCTAAATGGTCAAGGCACATTAAGGAGGACACTCGTTGGGATGAGCACTGGGTGTTATATGTAGAGGATGAATCACTGGATTCTACCCTGAAATCATTATTGCACTATATGCTAACTAACTTGGTGGTAAATTAAAAAGTAAAATTTTTTTAAAAGGGAGTTTACTTCTCATATGAGTCAAACTGAAGTTGGGTCATACATAGCAAGACCCTGTCATTTGCCAAGATGTTTTATCTCTCCCTGGGGAATGCTTTTCATCTCCATTTGGGGTATACAGAAGACATGGGCAATCAATGTAGCAAGAGTTCTTTTACAACTGGAAGGAACTTAGAATTGTCTAATGCCACTCACCAACTGGCCAGAGTCTCCCCTAAGCCTCTTCCGGGGGTGGCGGGGAGGTTACCTCATAGCTGGCCCATTAGCCAGTCCCCCTGGGTGTAGGGCCTGATAGACCCAGATTCTGAGGAGGGTCCTCCCACAGACACATCCAAAGAAGTGAGCACAATTTCCATCCATACGTGGGGACCCCCATGATGAGCTTCTCAGCGGGAACTCCACTGTCTCACCAATATTTCATGGCCAGTTACTGGGGGGACATTTAGCTTAAGGCTTCAAGCCCATTCCCTTCCACCTTCCTCCCGTGTCTGCTTCCCAGTCCTAACCCAAGATGCCTGCTTTACAGTGTTGACATAGATAACCTCTCCATGGTCAGCGGAACCCTGGTGCTGAGGGCTGTTGCCTCCTGTGATAGTGTCCCAACCTCCACAAAAGTCTATGCTATCAGAAGTATTTATACATGATTCCCTGACCACATTTTTTTTAAAACAAGCATTTTGATTATCTGTTAACTCAGTTCTCACAGACAATGAATTGAACTTTTTCCAGGAATGGAATAAGACTTCACTATTCCCAGAAATCTCCAAAGAACACAGTGTCCATCCAGCAAGCTCTCTTGCGCTCTGGGTAACGATGCTGTGGGTCCTCAGAGGCCTCTCTGGTTCCTCATGCAGTGGATAGCTTGGCAGGCTGATGTACTAGCTATTGTTGGAACCTGGAGGAGAATACCCTGGAGCCAGATTCTCTTCACTCCTCCATGCCCTAGTGTGAGTAGATAGGCAAAAAAATTGGGGGCAGGAATTGACAACAGGCTTGGTTGCACACCGAGTAAAAACTTTCCCTACCTCTCCTCCTCTGCTCTCACTAGTGGCACGCCTTCTTCTCCCTAGTGGATTGACACAGTAGCTAAGCCCACATGCATTTATGCAGCCCACTGGGGAGCCTCAAGCAGCACAGAACATATAGAACACCTTCTAGATCCTAAGCTGGAGACCAGAGTGGTTAGGAAACAGCAGCTGCCAGTCAAGAACGCTGAGGAGAAAAACGGGGAGTGGCATCCCGCAAACACCAAGCAAAGATGTACACACTACATTAACCTTAGGCTGAATGTAGCTCCAAAGGTCCGTAGGTTTAACTCCAGCCTTGGAATAAGACGTGCCCTTCAGGCCTTGGGGTATTGCTCCCATGCCTGACTCATGCTCTGATATCGGCAATTCTGAAACCCACATCCGTGGTTCCTTTGCCTGCAGGTATGGCTGCCAAGATCAGCAGAGGGGGGTGGCCTGTGTCTTGGGCCTTAGCTTCAAAAGCCGCTGTATTTCCTGTTGCAAGCTAGGACAGTATTGATGACTACAGGTAGCAATAATTGTAGGAAAAAGACAGTGTTAATAAATGGCTAAATTTTAATTTAAAAATATATCAATATTTGATGGAAGAAAAAAATCTTGCATGTACTAGAATGTATGTGTTCACCATGTATATGTGTGTATAAGTGAGTGAGCTAAGGCTTGAAACTTAAATTGTCTGTAATATTTTCCCCTGCTTCCTCACTGAAGCGGTGTCTTGTAGGGAAAGAAGTTTCAGAGATCTCCACTACTTTCTAATTATGATTACTTCTCCTCTCTGGTTTGATATAAAGTACATACTTCCATTTAATGTTATAAATATCAAATAAAGTCCCATATACACAGTGCATGCCACAGTGTCTGGCACATTGTAGATTGTCAACAATTATTGATTCCTGTATCTTCTTTTTCCCTTTTGTTTAAACATGGAAATCTGTCAAGGGTGGGAAACCCCCATAGGTCCTGGGCTATATGAATGCACCTACAGGTCTCTACCTTGATGAGGATGGTAAAGAATTGCTAGTTCTCAGATGGGCTGCCCAGGACTGTGGGTACCCAAAGTCAATGTCAATGCCATTGAACTCATATAGCTGGAGATGCTGGATCACTGAGTCAATGAGAATCATATGGTTGCCTGTTGTGGCCACCTTGGTAGTGACCCTGGAGAAGGCATGATCCTTGCTGGCATTCAGATGTCATCACCTTTCCCCTTCCTTCTTTCTCTGAGCTCCAAGAAATACTAGAGGAACCATCAACAGCATATGAATCTCTGTCTTTAAATCCACCTCATCTCTAGCATTTACTCCCCATGATCTGATATCATAAAAATCCTCCTGTAGAGCCCGGAGAGCAACAAAACTCGACTGGTGTTTAGGGCTTGCTGATAAACCATCCCTTGCAAGTCTTGCAACCACTCACCAGTCACATTTCATGTTCTCTCTTCAACTCCCAAATCCCTTTAGGAAGGGCATTATAATTCATCAACAAAGAAAGAAAAATGGCATCTCATCCATTCACAGCATGTTCGTTAATTCTTCCCTCCCTCTTTCTCTTTTCCTACTTTTAAGATCTGGTTTTCCTGCTACTTGATTGCTCAGAGTTCCACCAACACTCTATACTCTCAAACTTCTATGCCTTCGCGCACACAGGTGCCTTCTCTTGCAATGTCCTTCCAGAAAGGCAGAATTTGCCATTACTTTCTCACCATTTCTTATCACATCGTGCATGCTCCATCATGGCATTTGCCCACTGCACTATTCAGTTGGGTGTGTATATGTTTGTCTCTCCGCTAGATAGGAAGCTTCCTGGGACTCTTATTCATCCATTTTTTTACAGTGTCTTAAAAGGTGTCTTATGCTACTCAATAAATATTTAATATCCTTGAGATATCTCGATGATATTTAATATCCTTCATTAATTCCCCAGGCTGGCAATATCCCTCTATCCATCTTCTTTATTTTGTTGAAATAGGAGGATACATCATATTCTCAAGAGTTCCTCTTTTATAGCCCCTTCATCCTTGTGTATCCCAGATCTGAATCCTCAGTGCCTGCCATAGTACTCAGCACACAATATATGTTCAGTAAACACTCACTGAAGTAAATTGGAGCATTGTAGATAAACATTAAGCATGTGCTATGTGTAGGTCTTGTGTAGGTTACAGACTCCTTCCATAGAGCAGCCCTTCCTATTGGTTCTCTACCTCTAGTTCTCTGCCTTCCCTCATCCTATGATCCTAGGAATAAAAACTATGGACTCCATTCAGCTCTTATTTGAAGATAAATAAATTTCTCATTTCCCAATTCTAGCTTTTTCCCTATTCTGGAAAATCTCCTGCTGATTCACTTCTGGGATCTTTTGTGCCACCTTCAACCACAATTTTCTTCACCTTCAAAGTGCTTCAGCCTCATCTTCCTGAGATCAGTCCCTAGGCCAACTCCCCATAGAAAGAAGAGGTTCTTATTTCTGGGTGTTGAAGTCCCACAAGCTAACCATCAAAAGCATAACCAGGTTTTCATTCCTAATGAGGAATGACAGAGAAATGACAGAGTGAAGTCCATTTTAGCCAGGCATGAGGAAACTGCCCCCAGAGTCAAAATGGTATTCTCTCAGACTCATGGTTCTGGCACCAAAAGGACAGAATCATGTCCCCAGGAAATCTTCTCTTGGGATCCTCTTCCTGCTTCTCCAAGGATCAACTTTATGCCAGCCATTCAGATTGGAACACCCACTCATCCTTTCTGGAGCAGAGGGAAAGAGGCCAGACTGAGTGGAAGAGAGCCTTCCACTTAATACAACATGTGTATGGGATCTTGTAGAGAACCTTGCTTTCTACCTGGAGACAGCCTCATGGAGGGAATGGTGGACATTTATCCAAAGACATCCATGAGACTCTGGAGATTACTGTTTCTCCCCCTTCCCACAAGCCCCCCAAATTGTCAAATGCATCACCTATTAGAAAACAGAAAATGGGATCTTCCAAATGGGGTTGACTTGTCCCATTCTGATCTCAGGAGGAAGGCAGTTCTTCTAGAAAGTTCCTTAAGCGAGTTGAATTTCAGTCAGTCTTTGAAGTTACTTTTCCTTTTAAGTCCCTCTGGCAATTCTGGACTTTCTTTTGCTCACTGCCCTTGGCTAAGGAGCTTCAGAGGGACACAGACCAGAGCACAACAGGGGCTTCCAGTTTAGAAGTAAGAGTAGGGAATGAGAAATAGAGGATTAGAGCAAAGAAGCCAATTTTTCTAGAAGATAAAATTACTGCCAAGGAAAAGGATGTCATTTTTATTTTTGTCAAGGTAGCTTGACATTTTCTTTCCTCTCCTCCAGAGCTACCCTTTCTATACTGTGTACTTTAGTCCTGAGTAGGGGGGTGGTCCCCAATACTACCTTTGGATTTCAAGTCCACCCAGGGTGTCTGTCCTGTGACTCTCCCAGGTATTTCAGAACAAAGTACTGACTGCTGCTCAGGGGCCTGGAACTGGGAAATAGGACATCATCATTCCACTCGCAGGGCATGATCTTGTGATTGATCAAGCAGTGAAGGCATAGGTGAGGTCTACACACAGGCACAGTTCCACGTTCTCTGGCATGTATTTGGCAAGATCTGGGTACTGGGACCCGTTGGTAAAGTAACACACAAGTTTCATAGCTACACCCGGACGGGAAGACCAGAAGGTAGGAGTTGGAAGTCTTGAAACTCGCCATCTCAGTGCCCTGGGACTTTTCCGTGGGCTACCAGGAAAGGAGCAACAGAAACACTCTGGGGATGCCAGTTCTCCCTCTGGTTTTGGGGCTGGGGATGTGAGGAAGGCAGACAATGGGCCAATTTGGTGAGGCAAGACTATAAGCCAAACCCCCTTCTCAAAGACCTAGGAATGGAGTGAGAGCAAACAAATAGACGATAAAAATGGCAACTGTTTTCCACGAAGATTTCTAATTTCTGGAAAGTTAGTGATGGATCCATTCTAAACTAGCACATTCTACCACTACCTTAATTCCACACCCTAACAGGAATCGTCCTGATCCTCAGCAGCCCTCATTACCAATGCCATATGTTCCCAGTGGCTACGGATGGTCCCCTGCTGATGAATTTCAGGTTACTCATGATAACTTGGATTTTCTGTATCTCAGGATTGAGAACGTTCCAGAAATTTTACCACTAATGAAAGATCATGGCTTTATATCATTGAGGCTAACCACTAGAGAATGAATAGAGGTGATACTGAGGCAGGAACAGTAGCTGACAGGGCAGATGGTGAGGACATAGGTGAATTGCAGCTGAACTGAGATCCGTCCCTTTGGCAAAAAAATTGAAAAAGAAAAGTCTGTATCTCTTATAAGAGAAACACAACAAAAAGGAAAAGGAATGGCCAAAGTGCTTACATTAGTCAGTTCCATTAGATCAACAATATCGTATGTCGGTAGAGGGGAACGATGCGATGCTGTGGAGAAAGGCACACCTCCGTCCACCACCACCACCCATGCACATCTGGACTGAGAATTCTTTGCATCTTTCTTCCCAGATACATCTTTCTAATTACATTTCTGGAAACAATTTTGAGTCCCAGAGCCACACCAGTTCTTAGCTCCCCAAAGGCAGCATTACTGCGGTCGAAGAACCCACTGCAGATGATTGCTCATAACCTACCGTGGAGGGCAAGTTCAGCTACTGGTCTTACTGCCATCAGAAAACCGCTCTGGAGCCAGAGGCTCTACTTGATAGAAAATCCCTAGGGAGCCAACGCCACGCCTCATTTATAATTGCATGCATCCATGGCTTGCACATAGCAGACTTCATCACGTGGCAGCACAATAAAAGTATTTAATACCTTGAATCTGGATCTGATTTTAACACTAACTGTATGACTACCTGTCCACACCTCACTTTCTTCCACTGTAAAATGAGATGGGGTTTCTAAACTCAAAAGCAGTCAGGCCCAGGCAGGTAAAGTGCGTATGTGAGCAGCCTGAAAGCACCATAGGGAGGATAATGTCTATGAAAATACCAGAAAATATTCATTAAAACTGTGCTGCTCCCTTCAAAAAGAACCACATTTTCTGATCAGATTTGTTCTCAGAGCACCTGTTGGAAATGTTCTCTAAAGTTTCTTTTTCTCCTCTAAAATTCTTGAGTCAGAGACTACTCCGGTTCACGTTCTTGTCTAAGAATGCAAAGAAGAATGTGTTGGAAGGGAGAGTGCTGGGAGAGCTGGTCACCTCCAGCCAGCGTTCGTCATGAAGGGACTGTTGAGTCCTTAAGGTCTGTGCAGTGGGTCCTCACTCAGAGATCTCTGCTCCATGTTCTCTCCCATTGGTCAATTCACAGATTTCCCAACGAGCGGGTGCTAATTTTCAATTTAGAATAAACTACTACAAACATAAGGCAAAGAAGACATTTGGAAGGAGCAACAAAGACATTTGGAGATTCTTGATTTATTAGTTGCAGGAAGTAAGACTCTAGTGCACAGAAGGGTCAGATTAGTCTAAAATGCTGCGGTCAGCCCAGAGAAACTGTAGGGTAATCCCAGAGTCCTGCAGTGAGGGTGGAGACAGCTGCCTCTCACCTGTCTAGACAGAGAGGGCAAAGCCCATTCTATTGTTGCCCATGTCATAGATAGTGTAATATTCCTTGAGGAAGACATCTCCCAGAGTCCACAGGGGCTGCCCACTGGGGGAGGGCAGGTAGGTGGCCTCAATCCCAAGGGTACAGTAGCCATTGTTCTGAAGAGACAAAAGACATAAAGAGATAACATTTTTGCATATAAAAGCCTTTCCCCACAGGAAGTTCCCACCCTATATTCCATGACACCTGTGGGGTCTCTGGCTTCTTGTTCACCCTCAGCCCTGCTACTGGTGACTCCCCATAGGTGTCCAGACGTGAGCTGGGACACGGAACAGCTGTTTGGGCCCATCCAATCCCATGTCCGTGGAGCCCGGAGTGCATACGTACGTTGAGGACATAGGCAGAGGGAGGCAGAGGTAAAGGAGACCCGCTGATGACGAAGGTGATGGTGGGCATGCTCTGTATGGAGTTGCAGTTGACCACAAACTGAGAGAGAGGAGAGGCAGAGCTGTAGCGTGCCAGGAGACGGGGGGCCCAGACAAAGGGCCCCAGTCCCCCTTCCCCTGTGAGACTTCCTTCCTGACCTTCCAGCAGAGGCTGTTTGAGAGCATGGAAGGCAAAACCCGATTCCCAGGCACAACACTGACCAGGTGCTCTGCTTTCCTGGGTCTCCCTGAGCACATCTCAGGTTTGGGATGTGTTGGTATGGCCGTAAGGAGTTAGACTCATTCCAGAACAGATTTCTACCTTCAGAAAGTGCAACTTACAGAGAAGAAACACAGGCCCAGCCTGTAAAAGCATGCTCTCACACAATTCATATCCCTGCTTGTGTGTACCTGTCCACGTACTCGTCACACACACACAAACACACACACACCCTGAGGAGCCAAGATTTGGTCTGACTAAACGAGACTCTTGCATGCTGGAGGAGCAAACTGCAGAAGTGTGTACAAGGGGAGGAGGGGTGGGGACGGGAGGCTGCTCAGATAAAAGCCAAAGGAGTATTTCTAGGAAAAAGAAATCTCGGTGGAATGGGGAAATGTGACATGCCTGCCTCTATTGGCACACGTCAAATGACACTGGCCACACCAAGGTGAAATGTGCTCCTAGGGCAGCAATGGAACAGCCGTCCCTCCTGACAACCATTCAGCCCATACTCACAGTCTGGTTGGTGTTACTCCCTCCCCTCACCCCTCCTTGCTTTGAGGGTTCATGCCTGAAAGGCCATGCTGTGTCCCCACTTAATCTGTCCTGCCAGGGGTTTAGCCCCCCACCCAAACCCCTCTTCCTGTGCTGAGGCTGCATCAGGGTGCAGAGAAATCCTTGGCTTCTGGTTACTCACATCACCGTACTGAGACACCTCGGCTCCTGTTGCCTGCAGGAAGGAGTTCATGTACTGCTGGGGCACAGCCAGCACGTAGGTCCCTGTGTCCACAATGGCCTGGCAGCCCTGGGAGCACAAGCCGGTGGGCTGATTGCCAACGAGAAACCTGAGAGGGACACCAGTACAAGAGAAATCAGTGGCCTACTGCCACATGCCTGTGCCATGTTCACCCTAATCTCCCCAACCTCGGAGCTCCGACATTCTGCCTCTTCTAGGAAGCCTGGCCACCCCACGACACAGCTGCCCTTAAAATGTTGCTGTGCCTTCTTGGTCTGGTAACCCTTCCAGCTCTGACTGAGAGGCCTGGGGAGGCAGGGTTTATCTTCCTTTATCTTACCTTCCTTTTTCTGTGTCTTACCTTTCTATATCTACCTATGTGAGGTCCACACAGTGCCAAAGCTGGGAATCACTTCATAAATCACTTGGGCATCTAATATGTGCAAGATATTCTTGCAAGAATTATCATGATACAAACAGGAGCAGATTGTATTCACTGTTTTTAAAGAGTACCTTCTAAGAGACATGAGACAACACCATACATTAAGCTACCACTTAATGCAGTAGCTGGTAATCTCCGTAATGTGGTCCTATGTGATTCAGTCGCCGGCTCCTTCTCTACCCTTCCTCTTCAGTCCATGTATCTTTTGGGTACTGTTGGTGAACCAAGGTACTTGGATGTAATGGTGAATAAGACACCCAACCAATTACCTCTCTCTCTACTCTTCACATTGGGCTGGTTGCACTGTGACATACCCAAAGATGAGGTGATGCAAGCTGGTAAGACTATGGGACTGAAAGAGAGACTGAGACCCTGAGAGGCCTTTTCAAGGGAGGTAATAATTCATCTGGGCTCAGAAGGATGTGCAAGGACACGAGGACCACTTCAGGTGTCATAGTCAAAAGAGAAGAAGCAAGAAAGTCATGGCGAGGTGCAAGGACATGGTCAGGTCCGTGCTGCACATCCGGAAGTGGTGGGAAGGCTGTTCTGATAGGTAGGGCTCAGCTGTTGGATGGTCTCGACTACTGGCCAAAGACATGTATCTTTATCTGGCAGTGATGGACATTTCCTGAAGGCTTGGGGTGTAGAAGTAACTGATTCATGATCGTGGGTTAGGGGATCAAATATGCTTGGGCTCAAATTTTGAAATGTGTGAAATGTGTGACTTTGGATAAGTTACTTAACCTCTGAGCCTTGATTTCTTTATCTATGCAAAGAAATATACTGCTGACCACCTTATAGTGTTGTAGTGGAGATCACATGCAATAACATATTAAATAAATATTTAGCACATTGGGCACATAGAAAACACCCATGACAGCTATTACATTTCCTGATGAAGGAAGTGGTAAAGACTATGCTAATTAGGATAATGAAGCTTCCAGGAACAGAGATGAGGATTCACAGAGACCTAGGAATGACCAACCTGCTGACATGACAAGGCTCAGTGACCAAGTCAAAAAGTTCAGTCGAGAGCTAGATGCCAAAGTCTACTGAGCTCCAGGAATAATAAGCCTGAGGGTTTGCTGATTCTCTTTAAGGGATTTATGCCATGGCAAGAACAGGAAATAGAGTCACACTGGAGGGACACTCTAGGGGTGTCCATAATCCATAGGAACTTTCCTCTGTACTTACTCATCGATGGCAA